TAAGTAAGTAAGTAAGTAAGTAAGTAAGTAAGTAAGTAAGTAAGTAACCAACCAACCAACCAACCAACCAACCAACCAACCAACCAACCAACCTTCTTTACATGTTCTATATTAAGTGTGTTAAGTATAATCTTAACATGATCGTCTTTCTCACATGTATTCCTAGAAGACATGGAACAGTCTCAAAACATCTTACTGTAGATTTCCTTCTCTTATCATAGTCAATGGGGAGGCGAACTTCTATCACACATTTTACTCTCCACCTGGATAAATCCTGTTTAAGGTAACTGAGGCACGGCTTGGGGTTGTGTAGAAAGGGAACCCCAAAGATGTTTGTTCAAAAGGCAACTGGAGGAAGTTTTTTCCTTGAAGACGTTTCGCTTCTCATGCAAGAAGTGAAGAAGCTTCTTGGAGAAGAGAAATATCTTCAAAGAAAAAAAAAAAACTACCTCCAGTTGCCTTTTGAAGAACCACCTTTGGAACAACCGTGACTGAGAATCTCCACAAATATGTAGGAAGGGAAATTATCAGAAGATCACAAACGCAGTTAGGCTGCTGCAACCTTCCTCACAATGGGGACACATCAGGGGGTGGGACTAGATGACCTACAAGGTCCCTTCCAACTCTGATTATTTGTTAAGACTGGTCAGGATGGTATGTAGCCATCTCAAGGATCTTCCTAATGTCCCCCTGCCCGATTAGCAAAACCAACTCAGGACACGGCCTACCATTCCCCCCCCCGCCCCCATTAACAGCATTCAAGGTTGTTAATGTCTTTTTCTACGTTACGTTAAAGCAGGGGTATCAAAACTCGATTTCACTGAGGGCCGCATCAGGGTTGTGTTTGACCTCGAGGAATGGGGCGGGGTGGTGGCAGCCCGGGGCACGGCCAGCTCAACGTCCCTTATCACAGCTCCGTTTTGGGCTGGGATGGCTTCCTGTAGCCCACTCTGCCAGCGAAAACAAGAGTTTGTGGAGGCTACCCAGCCTCTGTTTTTGCTGGCAGAGGGCTGCAGGAGGCCATCGCAGCCCAAAATGTCCCCCAGGCAGTCTGTGTGCGGCCTCCCTGAGCTCCATGTTTGCTGGCAGAGGGCTGCAGGAGGCCATCGCGGCTGAAAACAGAGCCTGGGTAAGCCAGCTCCGTTTTCTCTGGCAGAGGCACCGTGAGCCGGTCCTTTGCTTTTTTCCAGGGCTGGCCTGCAGGCCAGATCTAAGCACCCCACAGACCGTATCGAGGCCCGGGGCCTTGAGTTTGACACCCCCGTGTTAAAGGGTGCCAGGGTTCAACCTTAGAACTGCTTTTTTGAAAAGAAAAAGAAAAAAAAGGAAGAAATCCTGCAGGCCGAAGGCAGTTTTTATTAAAAAGTAACCAAAGGTGGTTTATTAGCAAAGGCAACAACAGAAAGGCATCATGGGAATAATAAGTAGACTGATGCTCTGAAATACAGAACATTATTGAGGTTCGAGGAAACACGGTTGACAGCACCAGATGAAGTCACTTTGGGGCACCAGAAGAACTTTCTGGAAGGACAGTGTGCCATGAAAAACAAGAGGACAATTATAGTCTATCCAGAGAAGGCAGATTTGCTCGCCTGCCATGTCAGCGCTAACACTTATAATAGATGCCTTCAGGCAGCATAGGAAACAGCTGAGGTACTCCCGTATCTTGCTGTTACAACACTGTCATATTTATTTATTTTTACAAATACTAACCTATGTGACACTAAATGTTGTACCTTTCGGGTAGGCTCCTCAAAACTTACAAGTGACCCGGCCAATCTCGTTCCTGGGGCACGTTAGCCGTTTGGGATAATCTGGCACAAACAATTGTCCAGAATGACAACAACGCCTGTGTATATTGTATTTTCATCCTGCAATATTACCACGGAGACTGCACTGGCATCTCCTAACCTTAGGAAACTCCCGTGGAGGGAATTTGACTTGTTCGAGATCATCCACGAACTTCGTGGAGAAGCAAGGCCTCCAAAGCTGGTCCCATCGGCGTTTGGATTTTCCAGAGCCAAATCTAGGCATTTAATGGGGGCACAAGAACTTTAGATACCCACCGAGCTTTTCCATCTGAAGGGCTTATTCTCATATATCACAAGGGCGGCTGGATTCCCTGAGCTGAACAACAGCACTCTACCAATACAAATCAGTGTAAATATTCGTATTCCGTAGGAAACACTGGTTTGTGATTTATTATCCCAGATTTTTCCTTCCTGACCCAGAAAGCTTGGGCAGTTTCTGTGAAGATTCACACAAAGTCAACTTCACAAAGTCAATTGTTTTCCAATTCATTTCCATGGAGGTCCCACACCACGGCTAATTCCCATTTGCACCACACCATACCTACATCCCTCTGTGTGTGCTATCTCACACACACACACACACACACACACACACACAAATCTTTGAAAATGAAGGGTGCTTATTCAATTTACACTGGGCATAGACCAAGGAAAACTTCTGAAGTGGAGGAATATTCTAAATAAAAAGGGTGGGCAACTAATTTTCCCAAGAGGCCACGTGAAAAACTGGAACTGTTGTGGAGAAGTGAACTATAAGGTGCTCGGCCTTGCACTCATATATGTAAGATTGCAATTAGAAATGGCAGTTTCTTTCCAAATAAAAGCAATCCGCTTCGACTAGACAAGAATAGCCATAGGACTGGATGTAGCTTGGGAACCATAAAATGCTCAGGTCTGTTCTACTAGTTAGTAGAAACTCCAGTTGTTGGATTTAACACTCAGTGACTGTAGGGAAGAAATGCCTGCTTCTACTCAATTACCGGCACCCACTTTTTGTGACCATGCAGATAGTCCTCGACTTACAATGGCTCATTTCAAAGTTATACTACCACTGAAGAAAGTAGCACCCCTTTTCACACTTAATGACCGTTGGAGCATCCCCATGGTCTGTGGCGAGGAAGCTCGTAAAATGCGGCACAATTTGCTTAACAAATGTCTCCCTTAGCAGCAGAAATGTTGGGCTCAATTGTGATTGTAAGTCGAGGACTATACCTGTAATAAGGTCAACAAGAAGAAGAGAGAATTGTTTTGCTAGATTGGTGGCAGAAAACCTTACCTTGAAGACAGCAGATAAAAAGAAATGAGAAAGCAGATAATTATCAACTCAAGTTCTGTCCCTTTAGGATGCTTTCCTCTTATGACACAATGGCTTGTCATGTCAATATAGGACCAGGAAGAATTTTAACAGGATTCTCTTCCCGCATTAATAAACATGTATGCAAATCGCATGGGGCAGCTCAGAGACACCATTAGTGTTATGAAAAAGCAATCTTGTTTTGATGTACATGGTGAGTTGGTTGTTTTCCATCAGATAATTGCAAAGATCCTGCTGCCTTCTCCAATTTGGTACCTAATAAATTTAAATTCGCTGGTAAACAGAATGCAAGGTTAAATCTAGCACTCTGAGAAGACATGAAATTATAGGGAAAACCAGTTTATTGCACGTGTATAATCAGGTTGTTTTTGGCACTTGGAACCAGGTTTGCAAGTATCGCCACATGCCTTCAAAATTAAGATTCATTTTATCCAGAACGAGCTTTGCTAAGTGATTTGGGTAATGTGGCTTTTGAGAGTTAGGAGCTTGTGAATTATTCAAACATTTGCATAATCCGTGTGATGTACCAAAATCCAGGAGAGCATTCAATGTGTAAAATGATTGGACCAGCTGGTTTAAATCAAGCGTTTATGCTAGGGAATTTGGCAACTTTAAGACCTGTGGACTTCAACTCCCAGAATTCCCTAGCCAGTTTCCCATGCTAGTTGGGGAATTCTGGTAATTGAAGTCCATAGGTCTTAAAGTCGCCAAAGTTAGACACTCCAGGCCTACGAAGTCTACTGAATTAGATTTCTACGCAGAACCTGAGTTATTTGCTGCTTTATACCACACTAGGTTTCTGGATTAAATTATGCCGATACAAAGGAAGATTCCTAGACAGCATTATAAACTAAGCTGAGCAACAATTTTGGCACCGGTGATTTTCAGTTCCAAAGTACTACCTATTTTCTAAAAGAATATTTTTAAAAATCTGCATTTAGGACAAAAAAAGGGAATCATATAGCAGATATTTCAAAATAAGGTGGAACAAGGATGGACAATGAGAGAAAAAAAATGGCTCTCTTATTTCTTTCAGCCAGTTCATGCAATTCATCCAATACGCTTCATCATAACTTAGGTGTTGCCTCTTTAAAGATTTAAGATGTGCACTTGAAAATGGATCTACAAAAGGTTTCTTACGTCAGGCGCACGTGCGCGCAAAATGTAAAATCATCGAACCGGTAGTTACATTGGTCGGATCCCACCCTTGATCTAGTCCAATCCCCTTACACCATTTCTGACAAATGGCAGTCCAGTCTCTTCTTGAAAGCTTCCAGGGATGAAACTCCCACAACTTCTGAAGGCAACTTCTGTTCCATGGGTTGATTGTTCTGTCAGAAAATTCCTCCTTATTTCTAGGTTGAGTCTCTCCTTGACCAGCTTCCATCCATTGTTCCTTGTCTGGCCTTCTGGTGCTTTGGAGAATAGCTTGACCCCTTCCTCCTCTCTGTGGCAGCCCCTCAGATATTGGAAGACTGCTCTCCTGTATCCCCTGGTCCTTCTCTTTACTAGACTAGCCAAGCCCAGTTCCTGTAACCGTTCACGGTATGTTTTAGCCTCCAGTTCCCTAATCCTCCTGGTTGCTCTTCTCTGCACTCTTTCTAGAGTCTCAACCTCTTTTTTATAGTGTGGTGGCCAAAAGCTAATACAAAAATTAATACAAGCGGTCCAAACAAGGCATCACTGGAACTGCCAATCTTTCATCAGTTAACTAAGCTTGGAACACCCATATTGGCATTATTTCCACCACTGTGTCCATGGATCTGTTGGTCCACCAAAATTCCATGAGTCTGATAGAGACCCTTGTGGTTCTCAAGGCATCTGTGTTTCAAAGGGAATCCATTGTTCCATCCTTCCATCTGGAGAAACTGGGCTGAAAGGGCTTCCCACAGAAGTAAGTTAATACAAACTGTCTAACCAAGGCCTCATTGGAAGTGCCCATCCTTTGTCCGTCAACTGAACTGGGGAAATCCAAGGTCACCCTGCTGTCCCATACGTAATTTCCGCATTGTGCTTCTTCTACCTCTGAAGTAGATACGAGCAAGGCATCTCTGTTTGTTTGTTTTTTAATTCAACCAGTTCTGCAAAGAGAATTCAACAGGCTAACGACAGAAGAGGTCTGGGAAACTGTCACACAATTGGTGCGTGGGCCTGGCCCTCCATGGCGGCTTTTACGAGATGAGTTTCGGTCCTTCCTCTCCTCGGGTGGTTTGTCTTTCATTGAGGTAGCTCCTTGGTAGAGTGGAAGCATGCAAAGATTACCTTGCTTGATCATTGCTTAAGCCAGGAGGGGGGTGCGCTCCAACCTTGGCAACTTGGTGGACTTCAACTCCCAGAATTCCTCAGCCAACATGGCCATCTGTCTGAGGAATTCTGGGAGTTGAAGTCCACGGATTTTAAAGCGGTCGTGTTTGGAGACCTCTGGCTTAAGCAAACAAAATGCAAAGATTTTGTTCTTCCCTTTTCCCCCTAGAAGACCACTATAAAAATACCAGAACGGGAAGTTTTTAGAAAACAAATTATAGAAGGTTTCTCCTCTTCCCCCCCCCATTTTTTATATATATATATATATAAATTTCTTCCCTCTATTCCAAAGGCCATTAAACTTCGGTCCCATCGTGTAAATTGTTATGAACTTTCACTTCCAAGTTCATCTGTTTGACCTTCGCCCCCCTGACCTTGTAGGCGCCTTCGTTTTCACACAGGAGATTGAGGTTCTTCACCGTGCAGTAATGTCCACTGACGTTCTTCTCCAGGGTCTCGGCGTACCGCTTGGCTGCCTCAACTTGAGTGTTGAGCGGGTACTGCTCTGCAATCTCTTTGGTCGCTTTCTTCTTCTTCTTCTTCTTCCGATGCTTCCGACACTTCCTGGTGACAAAGCAGACGGACAAGAGGACGAGGACGAAGAGCAGGACGGCCGCAAAGCCGCTGCCGATGGAAGCTCCCGTCTGAGAGAGAGAGGCCACACTGACGGCGTCCTGCTGCTCCAGGCTGAGAGACTTCATGTTGGTGCCGTTCTTGATTTGATCTCCCTCGTTGTCGTAGATCAAGGAGTCATCCAGAACGGGGAGGCCCTTGTGGTCCACAAGGTCTCGGCGGCCGCGCTTCAGGGGATGGACCACGGAACGTGGCATCCGGGAGCCCCCAATCATCTCGGGACCGATGACGTAGATCACTTGAAGATACCACTGGTGCCCGGCTTCCACCTGACCAAAAAGACAGAACAAGCGCCACATTCAGAAGACGTGAATTTCAATATCTGTTTTGAGGTATACAGGGAGTTCTCAACTTACAACGATTCGTTTGAAGTTACAACAGCACTAAAAAAAAAGGGGGGGCCTATGACCTTTTCCCACACTTATAACCATCCCCATGGTCACGTGATCAAAATTCAGACGCTTGGCAGCTGACTCATACTTATGACTGTTGCAGCGTCCCGGGGGGTCCTGTGATCCCCTTTTGCGACCTCCTGACCAGCGAAGTCAATGGGGAAGCCAGATTCACTTAACAACCTTGTTACCAACTTCACAGCTGCAGGGATTCACTGAACGTCTGTGGCAAGAAAAGTCATAAAATGGGGGCAAAATTCACTTGACCAGGGTCTCATTGAGCAATAGAAATTTGGGGCTCAACTGAGGTCGTAAGTGTAGGATGCCCTGTTTTGCTATTTCTCCTGGAGGCAATTGGAAGGCTATATGAGGTAAGTTGGGGGCAGCAAATAAGTTTAATCAATCAATCAAGCAAAGAAACAAACAAGCAAGCAAAAGAACAACCATCTTGTCCTTGAAAATAAGACTGTGTGGAGCGGATTGTACCTTCTCAGAAAGTGCCACATTTGCAGTGTCTGTGAAGATTCTCAGTCATCCAGGTCACGGTTGGCATTTTAGAATAGAATAGAATTCTTTATTGGGCAAGTGTGATTGGACACACAAGGAATGTATGTTGGGGCATAAGCTCTCAGTGTCCATAAAAATAAAAGATACATTCGTCAAGAATTAATCAGGTACAACACTTAATGATAGTCATAGGGTACAAAAAGCAATTAAATCATACTAAGAAGCAGTCAATATAAATCATAAGGATACAAGCGGCAAAGTTACAGTCATACAGTCACAAGTGGGAGGGGATGGGTGATAAGGAGTGATGAGAAGATTAATAGTAATAGTAATGCAGACTTTGTAAATAGTTGGACAGTGTTGGGGGAATTATTTGTTTAGTAGAGTGATGGCGTTAGGGAAAAACTGTCCTTGTGTCTAGTTGTTCTGATGTGCAGTGCTCTATAGCGTCGTTTTGAGGGTAGGAGTTGAAACAGTTTATGTCTGGGATGTGAGGGGTCTGTAAATAATTCACAGCCTTCTTTTTGACTCGTGCAGGATACAGGTCCTCAACTGAAGGCAGGTTGGTAGCAATCTTTTTTTTTTCTGCAGTCCTAATTATCCTCTGAAGTCTGTGTCCGTCCTGTTGGGTTGTAGAACCACACCAGTTATAGAGATGTTCCTTCCGTGAGGAAAACGTTTTGCTTCTCATCCAAGAAGCTTCTTCAGTTCTGAGTAAAACGGAATCAATCAGTTAGGACTGAGGAAGCTTCTTGGATGAGAAGCAAAATGTCTTCCTCAAGGAAAAAAACGAAATCCAGCTGCCTTTTGAAAAAAGGGACCTTTGAAAGCCCATTTGGGGTGCTGCAGCAAAAAAAGGAAACCTTATTTCTGGCCTTCACTCTATGGTGCCACCGCAGTGGAGACCACAAATCTGTGGCATCTCCAGCTCATTTAGTGCCGGATGGTATTGAGGTGGCCATATTTTAAGAGCTTGGGAACCAAGCCAACTATTTTGATTAAAACCTCCTTTGTTACTGAGCAAATCTAATTTCACAGTTATGGTTCTCACTCCTGAACTGGATAAATTATTAATATGTATTACAGCTATTATAGGTGTCATCCTCCAATCTGTATTCCCAAGGGAGTTTACAAGAAAACAAACAGAATGATTAAACGCAGAAACAAAAATCGGAACCTCAAAAAGACCACAGCTTTATACGAGATTACATCCCTAAAAGTTTGGGAAAAGAAAGCCTTTGATGAAATAAGGAAGCCTCAAATGGGAGATTTTTAAGATATAGGGAATTATAGATGGATATGGCCTGTACCTTGAAGTGCCCTAACTGTCAGCCACTCAAAAAAAAAAAAAAAAGCGAAATACCACTCACGCATCATCACAAAATCTCCAAAAGCCTACAAACTTGAAAATTTGGCACATATGTTCCTCTTGGCTTCTAGGTGCTCACTAAGAAAGGATTTTTCAAAATGACCATCAGAGCATTAGTATTTTCTATATTATTATTAACACGCTCTGATGCTAAGGAATTCTATTCCTCCTCCCCATCTGAAAAGAAATCTGTTCCAAATGCAAAACGCAAGCAGAGGAGTTTCCGTTTTAGTTTCACAGCAGCAAGCAGCTTTAGTACAGAACGGTTGAGCTAAGCCACACCCAGGCTCCTTGTTGTCTCCTTCTTGCTCACACAGCATATACTGTTTCAGTTTCCAAACAGCCCTCAACTCTCCCACAAACTGACAGGACGCTAGCCAGATGAATACCAATGGATGCTGGTAGGCAGAGGCAGATTTTTCCCCCCCGTTATTTTCTTCCCCCAAAACTAAACCTGACCACATAGCTTCGTAGTGAAGCACGGGTATCGAGCTAGTCTTTAAATATTCTTTATTTTTATTTATTTTATTTATTGATTTGATTTGTCAATTGCTTACAAGATAATAGGTATAAGTATATACATAGTTATGAATACATGAAATGGGTACATATAAGAAAAATAAAAGAAACAATAGGACAGGGACGGTAGGCACGTTGGTGCACTTATGCACGCTCCCTACAGACCTCTTAGGAAAGGGGTGAGGTCAATAGTAGGCAGTCTAAGGTTAAAGTTTTTGGGGTTTGGGGAAAAAACTACAGAGTCAGGTAGAGTATTCCAGACATTGACTACTCTGTTGTTGAAATCGTATTTCCTGCAATCAAGTTTGGTGCAGTTAACCTTGAGTTTGTATATATTGTGTGCTCTTGTGTTGTTATGGTTGAAACTGAAGTATTCATTGACAGGTAGGACATTGCAATGTATGATTTTATATACCATACTTAGATCAGACTGAAGACAGCGAAATTCAAGGTTTTCTAGGTCTAGAATTTCAAGTCTGGTGGCATAAGGTATTCTACAACGAGTAGAGGAGTGGAGAACTCTTCTTGTGAAATATTTCTGGACTTTCTCAACTGTGCTAATATCAGATACGTAATGTGGGTTCCAGACTGATGAGCTGTATTCGAGTATTGGTCTAGCAGATGTTTTGTATGCTCTAGTTAGTAGTGTGATATTACCAGAGAAAAAGCTACGCAGGATTAGGTTAACGACTCTTAATGCCTTTTTGGCTATGTAGTTACAGTGGGCTCTAGCACTTAGATCATTAAGAGATGAGAACTCTAAGGTCCTTTATAGAGCTTGGATCATCAACAAGATCTTGACTATTCAGCTTGTATTTTATTTTCTGATTTTTTTTGCCAATATGTAAGACAGAGCATTTATTTGTTGAGATTTGAAGTTGCCATTTGTTTGACCATTCTGATCCATAGTCAAGATCTTTTTGAAGGGTAGCAGTATTGTCTGTGGTATTGAACAGCTTTACATCATCAGCGAAAAGAACGCAGTTGCTCTTAATATGATCACAGAGGTCATTTATGTAGGGTATGAAGAGAGTTGGTCCTAGAACACTGCCTTAGGGGACACCACTATTGACAGAATAGTGATAGGACACTCCCAATTTTGACCATTTGTTGTCTGTTTGACAGGAATGCTTCTGTCCAGTTATGCAGTTGTCCAGAGATACCATAAGATTTTAGTTTTAGGAGTAGTTTGTTGTGTATCACTGAATCAAAGGCTTTACCGAAGTCTATGTAGATTGTGTCTATTGCTTTGCCCTGATTGAGTTGTGTAGTCCATATGTTTTTGCAGTGTAAGAGTTGCAGATTACATGATAGTTTTTTCCTGAAACCAAATTGTTTATTGGAGAGTAGGTTGTTTGTCTCTAAGTGGAGGATAATGGATTGGTTAATAATTGATTCCATGACTTTACAGGTGACGCAGCATAAGGAGATTGGTCTGTAATTTTCAACTAGGCTGGGATCTCCCTTTTTGAATATGGGATTGACCATGGCTTGTGACCATAGGTTAGGCAAGGAGCTGGTCCTGAAAGATTTTTCAAAGATTATGCTTAGAGGTTCGGCTATGGCAGTGGATAGCTTTTTAAAGAAGTAGGCACATATTCCATCCGGTCCAATAGATAGAGATGGTTTTAGATTGTGTAGTGCTTTTTCAACATTGTCTTCTGTAAAATTGATATGTATTAGATCATTGTAGTTGTCTGTGGTTCGGCTAGGAAATACTGGGCATGATCCATTGCTGTTTACAAATACTGAGCCAAAGGATGTGTTAAAGATGTTGGCTTTAATGGTGTCGTCATTGCAGTCTTTACCATTAGGTCCTATCAGGGGTGGGATGGACCTGGAGTCTTTTAGTTTGTTGTTTACAAAATTGTAAAAAGCGCGGGTGGAATTGGTGCATAGGACGTTTTCCTCTTGTTTAATGTGTTAATTGGTGCATTCAGTCTTTATCTGGTGGCATAAATTTTTGTATCGGCTTTTGAAATTGGCAACGTGGCCAGATTTGTTTTTCCACCAGAGTGATCTCTTTTTGGATTGAAGTTTCCTTATTGTTATGGGTAATCTGTTTTTTTTTGTTTTGTTTTGGGAGTTGTTGTTGGTATATAGTGTGATGACTCTTTTGACTTCAAGTAAAAATATGTTGTAATGGTCTTCAACAGTATTGCATCCAGTGAATAAGAGATTGCCAATCAAGGGATGAGAGATCGTTGCCTATAAGATCATAGTTGCCTTTTTTGAAGTTATAATTGGGGATTACATCATTGTGATTATTTTTGTGTGGGCATATGTTGAGACAAAAGTCAATCATATTGTGGTCACTGCTGGAAAAGGGTTCTTTAGTTTGTATTCCGTAAATTAAATTATTTCTTCTTCTTCTTCTTCTTCTTCTTCTTCTTCTTCTTCTTCTTCTT